TAGAATTTTCTGCATGGTCAATTACAAATGAATTTTGCACCAACAACTTCACTGCTAGACCTAACGTTTTCTATGAGAACGTTTGGAGGGGGGGGGGGGGGTAACATCCTTTATTGCAGCAGCCAGTAAAAAAAAAAGACATTTCATTGAGATAAAACGAGTCTTTTCATGCTTTAACGAATATTTTTGATCATTAGCATTCATTAAGTAACGCAAAAATTTTCACAAATATAAAGTTTCGATAAATTTACATTTTGAAGTGAGGGTTGTGTCAAAACCGGAAGTGCTATTGATATAGCATACCCGTGGATAAAGCATAGGTTTATCTTATGGGTATTACATGTATCCACCACACGTATGAGATAAATACTAATAATCAGGGATCAGCATTATATTAAATTTGTACTCAATAACAAATCTTAAAGTTGATCTATTTATTTGTCTGTACTTTCCCCCATTTGTCACTATCCTCATGCAGACTAAACTAAACAATAGTTCTAGAGCACTATTAGTTAACACATTTCATTCCCCCTCACATTGGCCTCTCTTGGTTTTTAAAGATTATTTATTGTACAATTATATTTATTTTTGTCTCATTTTCATTTGTCTATTATTTAAAAGTTAACCTGACCATTAAAAACCATGAAAGTACTTTCGTATTAAATATAAATTTCTTGTATAATTATGTTATTCAATTGACCTTATAAGTTGCATTATTTAATGTGATTAACTATTATAGGTGAATAGAAAAGGGGAATAACTTCTTTTAGTAAAAATTAATAAATTGACCAAAGAGTACAGAATTTCAAAATCTGGTAAAAACACCTCTGCTTATTACAACTTTATATACTCTATTTGCCTTCTAGATGCTCAGGAACAGAGAAGATTTGCAACGAAATAATCCATTTTCACTATAGATTCAATAAAGCCCCTCCCTAATACCAAAACCACTGACCCAGGGGCCAAGATATTCACAATTTTGGAAGAGACACTCTGTTTACTTAATAACACTGGCCAGAGAAAAAAAAATTAAAAAAATAATACATTTTTACTAATATTTAAAAGAGCTTCAATCTAACACCAAAATCTCTGACCCCGAGGTTATGAATTTCAACTTTTTTGAAAAGATTTCCTTCCTCGTCATAACCATACAATTAGTTTTTCTGTTAAATACCCCGAAGCGGAGAAGATTTTCAAAAAAATGCATTTCCACAATATATTAAATAGACCAAGCATGAACCCCTTACCCTTGGGCCACAAATTTCACAATTTTGGAAGAGGTATTTTTGATCATTATAACCATGCATATAGTTTATTGCTAAATACCAAGGAGCAGAGAAGCTTTTTAAAGAAGTAATGCAATTTTACTATATAATCAATAGTACCTATCCCTAACACCAGAATCCCTAACCCGGGGGCCAAGATACTCAGTTTTTGAAAAGTTGCCCTTGCTCATCATAACTATATACTTAGTTTATCTGCCAAATACCCAGGGGCAGAGAAGATTTCAAAGAATTAATGCACTTTCACTATATAATCAAAAGAGCCCCGCCCTAAAATGTAACACCAGAACTCCTGGCCCAGGGGCCAAGATATCCAAAATTTTAGAAGAAGCGCCCTTTCTCATCATAACAATATACTTGGTTTATCTGCTAAATACCTAGGAGCAGAGAAGAAGACTTATAAGAAAATAGTGCACTTTCACTTTATAAAATCAATAGACCCCCCCCCCCCCCCGCCAAGGGGCCACAGATTTCACAATTTTGAAAGAGACATCCTTGATCATCATCATAACTAGCCACATAGCTTATCTGCTTTATATACATGGGAAGAGAAGAAAATTTTTAAAGAATTAATGCATTTTCACCATATGATCAGTAAAGCCACGCCCTAACACCAGAACCCTTGACCCAGGGGCCAAGATATTCACAATTTTGGAAGAGGTGCCCTTGCCCATCATATAACTATATATTAAGTTTATCTGCTTAATACCTAGGAGCAGAGAAGAAGATTTTAAAAGAAATAATGCACTTTCACTAAATAATCAATAGAGCCCCCCCCCCAGAACGCCTAATCTTAGGGCCACAAATTTCACAATTTTAGAAATTTTCGAAGAGGCACCCTTCATCATCATAACCATGCACCTAATTTATCTGTAGGTAACTTATATAGTTTAATCAATTAACAATATTCATTTTCATTTCCACGTTGATTCGATAGATCCCATTAAACTCGAAATAAAGACACCATAGTCTGACACATCGTTTTCATATTTGGTTGTATTACTAAGGAAAGACATTGATGACTAACTATTAAACTTTATGATATACGTGAAGACTTCAAGTTTTTCTATCGTCAAATTTCATTATTTATATAGTAATACACTATTATCATCTGCATATGGAGTTTATGCCTCCAAGTTGATTCGATAAAAAATTCGATTAGTAAGAGCATGTTTTACGTAGAAACTATTTCTTTAATAAGGCAAGCTATTGAAAATAAGTTGAGGATGCAAGAATATCAACGATCTCCTTTACAGTAAATATTTTGCAAATTCTACGGTCTATGATTCAATGACTAGTCTTTCAACAATGTTACTCAAGTTAGCAAATACAATCTCGCGTTAAGTCGAATGTTTACTGACGTTTTTCATACCAATTTTGGTAGGCCATTATTTTTTTTAAAAATGACTTTGAGCACTGTTCGTAATCATAACATTTCATAGATAATGTATATTTATAGTTATTTTCTATTTGATTATTTGTTGTTGTGTGCGGATGGATAATGATTCATCTTTTCCATGCAAGATGGCTTTGTATGATATGTAAATAAAAACATTGGGAATCTTATTATCAAACAATATGTCATTTTGATTTTTATTTTAACATTCACAAGAATAAACTTAAATTGAAAAAAGAATGAGAAATTCTAGATAGAACCATATTTGAATAGGACATACAGGTTGTTTTAGGAAATGACTAATATACATGTATATTAAAGATATCTACAAAAATGGATCATTATTACATAATGATTATTCATTCCTCCTCCGTAATTAGCAATAAAAAACGTAAGTAAGAATTGATCTAAAATGTCATTTGTATAACCTCCTCATATTAACAAATAATTCACAGTTAGATCAATACTAGTACATTGAGGGTTATTAATTATAATTATGTTTTAACGGTAAGTTGGAGATTTTGGTGGTAAAACAAGTCAGATGAGTTCTACAGAATACAGAAGGAGGACGTGTTGGAAGACTTAGAACAACAAGGAGAAGTGGGATGGAAAGTGAAAGAAACAAGACGATTTCAAAGGATTGGTTGTAGTATGAGTAAACAAAATGGTAGAGAAATAAAATAGAGAAAGCATTAGCCCAAGGACATATGACCCAGAATTTAAAGAGTTTGAATTGATTTATATGATGAAAATAATGGAGGAAAATTGAATTTACAGGTCTGTGGGTTTCTCGTCATTGTGAATATCAACAGAAATAAAATTATACCTTGACCATAACATTTGCCAACATCAATGGCTTGACAGTATATAAGTGATAATTATGCTACAGAAATACATCTGAATGATGAAATTTTCCGAAGGGCACTTGTTGCTTTTATAAAATTCTACATCCACAGTTTCTATGTTTAGAATGAACTTCGAACATTGCTCTTGTGACGTCAAAATCAAAAGGGATCAAGGTGTTCTAGTGTGTTATATTTGATGAATGTCAAGTAAAGAGTTCTCAAGATATTGAGCGTACAACACTTGATCTACCTACGTACCGATCGACCTACACTGTACCTACCGACCGACCCAAAGGTGCAAAGCAATGTACCCTCCCCCTCTCAAGAGGGGGTCTAATAATAACACCATGCATCTACCTCCAAAACCAGACGGTAAGTATTCGTTCGTTTTCTTTAATTACTAGCCAATATGCCATGCTATAGTGTATATTTATTTTTCATTTAAAGCCTTTATCCATGCAAATAACTCTCAAAGATTGCTTCTCAAACTTGATAAGTCGTTTTACACCAGGATGTGCCTTTGGGGTTTTTAGAAGCAATTAAGAAACAAAGCTCTTCATTTAATATCGAAGTTGTAGATTCATGATATAAATGAATTCTAGTAGCATTTCATTCATTCACTTTGAATATTTCATACATGAAAATAGCAGGAAAATATAAAAGCTTTTGGGGCTTCTGCTTCATATTAATTTTTACAAGAAAAGCCCTAACATGTTTCGTCTGTAGGAACTCATTCTATCTGATAGTTGGGAGCCTGCGACGTTCAAAGTTGAAATGTTGAATCTCATTCTTTCTATTTACAATATAATTTTCAATGATGTATCCCTTTTTTATGAATGTGTGCTGTACATAATTCTATAATACATGTATGTGCGATTTTAGAGGTAACAGGTCTTGTAGAGAAACTTTCCCCATAAAAACCATCCACTCTCCCGGAAAACTGGCTCTAGAATAGGATTAACCCATGGAAAAATGACTCAAGAGTAGAAATCTGACACCAGATTCAATTTTTGGGGAGAAAATCCAAATCTGGTAAATAGTTATAGAGTGAGATTTCATCCAGTGAAATATTATGGTTGTATTTATATATAAGGGAGGAGGGGGCACATTCTTACAAGTGTCCCTATAATTTTCACAGAGATTTCGAAATATATTATCTTAATAAAACTTCGCAAAAATGATTTTAAAAAATCTGGTCATACATTCATCATTTTAAATTTTTTAAAAAAAATTATAAAGTATGAAAATTGAAATTGAAAGTTTAAAATCTATTTTTTAGTAACTGCACGACCAATTCTTTTGGATCATTAAGTGTTATTCTTTTTATTTGGTCAAGCTAGTTTCTGCAAAAGAAAAAAAAGATACTAAAGATACTGTAACGTTTTCGCCGTAATGAGTTCGTAAGATAGGATAAATATGGCTAAATATGGTCGATAAAAATAATTTACACATTCAATAAAATCATCACTTCAAATATAATTTTTATAACATTAACAACCATTAACAATTTATGTAACAAATCAACTTACCAACGGTTCAACAACCTAAAAATGGCTAAAATCAACAGTTCAATAACACATACGATATGAAATAGACTTTCTCAAGATGAAGTGTCCGTCTGTGTAGATGCATTTACTGTAATCTTGGCAAGGAATTGGGGAGCTTCTCCATCTAAATAATGACTCCGGGCACCGAGGAAGTAAAAGAAAGGATTTGATGAAGTAAAGGAACAATCAACAGGTGGGATAGGTCCTACAGGTTCCTCAGAGCAGGTCCTGTTCCTGGCAGCAGAAGGTTTACTCAGGTCCAGAGGAACAGGTTCCAAGGGCTCTTAATTCTTGAGCGGTGACTGCAGGGACATGAACTTTCACAGGAATGGGAGATGAGGACTCTACAGGCGCACAATCAGGTGTAGACACCCTATCAGGAGTGGCCAGTGAGTTACATGTAAGCTTTTCAGGAACAGAGGTCTTGGGATCCTGGAAAGACATTAACTCAGGGAAAGACAATCCTAAAAAATCCCACTCGGACAAATCCAATGGGTCCTCCTGGTGTAATGAGGTGACAGAAGAAATATCAGAGTACATAGGAGAGGGCGGTCCAACTGTTGGTCTCACCGTTGTTTCAGGTAAGTGTTCTATGGCTGCAGGTTTCTTGTTTTCAATGGTTGGTTTACATTTACTGTTACTCTGATGAACAGTTTTTTCATGTCGTTTCAGTTGATACTTCCTGGTTCTTGGTACAGAATAATAGCAATAAGAACAGAAGACTCTGTCTCCATGGACATTTCTCAAGTGCCGAGAAAGCTTGTGTCTGGAAAAGAATCTCCGGACACATTCATCACATTGATGTAATGGTTCTTCAGAGGGAGCGGAAAGATATGAAGTTCCAAGATATCTGTGGACACTAAAAAAATGAAATACAAAAGTTTACCAACACAAATTTACATGTAAATATTTTAATCTTTGGTCAGAGATACTATTCTTTTATTGGGCATTTTGGGTCCCCTGGGCACGGGTGTTTCTTTCACTGGGTGGTACAAACCATTTTTTCATTCTCCCAAAATATGGTTTCAATCTATTTACATGTACAACTTTTGACTTGAAAGTTGAAGAAGATTTAATTTCATAAATCAAATCCGATAGTTTTCTAATTATAGTGTAGGGTCCCTCCCATTTACACATAAGTTTTGGTGATTTCTCCTTAACATTTGCTGGGTTAAATAATAAAACACAATCCCCGAGGGAAAAAGTTTGGTCACTGGTCTTGAGGTCATAATATTTCTTTTGTCTGTCACTAGCTTTCAAAATATTCTCACGAGCACCTTCATGCACATTCCACAGTTTTGTTATAAGGTCTTGTACATAATCGGACACTATTTTACGGTCCTGACATTTTCCATACAACAAGTAAACCGGTAAAAGGGGTTCACGACCAGACATCATAAAACAGGGAGATTCCCTAGTGCTCTCTTGAATAGAGGACCTGTATGCTAACATCACAAATGGTAGTTTTCTGTCCCAATCCCTTTGACTTTTGTTAATGGCTTTACTAAGCATATAAATAATTGTCCTGTTAATTCTCTCTACAAGTCCATCACTTTGAGGGTGATAAGGAGAGGTTCTTGTTTGGTCAATTCCAAGGATTTTACAGAGTTCTTTAAAAAGATTAGACTGGAATTGTCTCCCTTGCAAATTGGTCAGAATGAATTTGCAAGGGTAAACCATAATGACAAATAAAATCAATCAAGAAATCGGCAATGGTACTTGCTTCCTGATCTATCATAGGGTAGGCTTCGGCCCATTTCGTAAAATAATCTGTAATAACCAATATGTATTTGTGTCCTTTCTGGGTTTGGGGCAATGGACCCATTATATCAAGAGCTATTCTCTCTAAGGGTGCACCAACATTGTATTGGGCCATAGCTCCTCTAATTGGTTTGAAAGGGGGTTTACGCTTTTGACACACAGTACATTTTTCAATCCATCTCCTGGTATGGGACATATAATCTGACCAATAGAATCTTTCCCGAATTTTGTTTATGGTCTTGGTGATACCAAAGTGACCTGAAAGCAAAGAGTCATGTAACAAAGTTATATATATATATATATATATATATATATATATATATATATATATATATATATATATATATATATATATATATATATATATATATATATATATATATATATATATTTTAGGAATGACACTAATTCTTTGCCAAATTATTCGAGTATAACCTGGTTTGGGTCAGTTTACGCTTTATAATCCGCGAAGCGGATTATAAAACAGCGTATACTGACCCAAACCAGGTTATACTCGAATAATTTGGCCAAGAATTAGAGTCATTCCTTATAATTTAATTTCAAAATCATTAAATAACTATGGGTGTAAAATTTCGTTACTTTTATTAGTTCAAATTTGCCGCTCAATAATATAACCATAGTAACGGAAGTAACGGAAGTGATGGGAATCGAGGGGAGGTAAAAACTGATACATAGGCCTAGCAGCCATGTTGTTTGGTTACATGTGGTAAGATCGAATTATTGTTTGAAATTAAAGGTACATTTATTAAATCTGGAATTTTCCATGAATCCCGAGGACTGGAAATGAGAGGATTGTATGGATACAGATGATTCAGCTGGTTGTCAGGGGGGTGTGTCCCCATACCAAACCAGGTTATACAGATATAATTTGTGTTCCTTTTTGGATATTAACCAATCAGAGGCTAGTATACAAACAAAATTAAATTATATAAGGATGTTCTATGCGCGAATGTGGCTTAACAGGTGTAAGCAAGCCAAATTACCCCCATCTTCATTATAAATTTCCGTGCATAATTTATGCTTGAATGCTTTCATTTGACGAAGAAGTATAAATGTGTTAGTCCCATGAATTGATCGGGTATACTGAAAAGAAAGGTTATCATCCCCTGAAACTGGACTAGCTTCCACTGCAGACACTACATTGACTTGATGCTGAACATTAACTGATTCGTGGTCCAGACAGGAAGTTTGGGTTGACACATGGGCAACAGATTCACCGGAAAGAGTGATTTTGTCTTCTTATTTCTCGCAAAATTTACAAGAAATGCATGGTCGACGAGACAAACCGTCAGCATTAGAATGCTGTTTTCCAGGTCGATGCCGAATGTCAAAATTGTATGTATCAAGAACTTGGATCCACCTCGCTAGCTGACCCTCAGGATTTTTAAAACGTCGTAGCCAGCTGAGAGCACCATGATCTGTACGTTCTGACAAGAAATTTTGTACCAAATAAATAGTACTGAAAGTGCTTAATTGCTTCAAAAACAGCTAAGAGCTCTTTTCTGGTAATGCAATACTGTCGCTCATGCTTAGACAGACACCTGCTAAAATATGCAACAACATGTTCTCCATCTTCATGAACCTGGGACAAAACAGCGCCAATGGCTGTGCCACTAGCATCGGTATCTAGTATAAACGACTTGGACATATCTGGGTAGGACATTATAGGTTTGGTCATTAAAGCAGATTTAAGACACTGAAAAGCAATATCACATTCTTTGGTCCAGCTGAACTGGGCTGTTTTCTCAGTCAATTTATGCAAAACCTTTGCAATGTCAGCAAATCCTTTGATAAAACGGCGATAATATGAAATGGTTCCCAGAAAGCTTCTTAGGTCTTTTACTTTAGAGGGTATAGGCTAATCCTTGACTGCTTCAATTTTACTGGGACATGGTTCGATACCATGTTCAGACACTATATGTCCTAGAAATTTGACCTTCCTTTGAAACGAATTGCATTTCTTTGGGGATATCTTAAGTCCAGCGTGACTTATACGTTTCAAAACATCACCAAGACGATCTATGTGGGTCTCAAAGGATTCAGAAAAGATGATGATATCATCAATATAAACAAGACAAGTCTCCCACTGTAATCCGGCTAAGACACTCTCCATGAGCCGCTCAAAAGTCGCAGGACTATTACAAAGACCGAAGGGCATCTTAGTAAACTCGTATAGTCCGCTATTTGTTACGAAAGCTGTTTTCTCTTGGTCTGATGGATCCATTTTTACCTGCCAGAAACCCGACTGCAAATCAAGTACAGAAAACCATGAAGATCCGCGTAAAACGTCCAGGGAGTCATTGATTCTGGGCAGAGGATAAGAGTCTTTTATTGTGACCCCATTGACTTTACGATAATCGACACAGAATTGTATAGAACCGTCCGATTTGCGCACAATGACAATAGGGGAAGCCCAAGGAGATTTAGAGGGTTTAATAACACCAACATCTAACATTCGTTTCAATTCCTTTGAAACTTCCTCTTTTTTGGTTTATGGGTATACGTCTAGGGGCTTGTTTTATGGGACGGGCTTGACCTGTATTTATTTTGTGTAAAACACAATCTGTTTCTCCCAAATCGTCTTTAGAGGTTGCAAACACACTTGAATAGTTACGCAAAAGATTTCACACTTTCGTCAATTCTTAGATTGTTTCTACAAGAATCAAGAACAACTTTAATATGGTCAGGAACAGACTCAAGTTCTTGTGGTGTCTTTAAAAGGTCTAGGTTATTCAAAGTATGCAAACACACTTGAATAGTTACGCAAAAGATTTCACACTTTCGTCAATTCTTAGATTGTTTCTACAAGAATCAAGAACAACTTTAATATGGTCAGGAACAGACTCAAGTTCTTGTGGTGTCTTTAAAAGGTCTAGGTTATTCAAAGTATGCAAACACACTTGAATAGTTACGCAAAAGATTTCACACTTTCGTCAATTCTTAGATTGTTTCTACAAGAATCAAGAACAACTTTAATATGGTCAGGAACAGACTCAAGTTCTTGTGGTGTCTTTAAAAGGTCTAGGTTATTCAAAGTATGCGCATTCATATACTCACAAGATTGATTTTGAAATGATACTACATCACTCTCAAGAACTATCTCACATTCGGTCGTAACTGTATTTTTGTAAATAGTTTGAGGAGTATCAGAAACACGCTCAGGTATTTCACATTTATTAGGGTCAAAAACACTTTTCCCCACTAAAATTCCTTTCTTTGACACAGATGGACTTACATCTGTAACAACAGCCGTTTTCCCAAATGGCTGATCACCCAAAATTCACCTTGGAATTATCATTTCGCTCGACGGAGGTATCACTACATTTTCAGTCAACGATAGTTTGAACAGGGTCTGAATTTGGCTGTGAAGTCTACAACTAACCGATTCACCATTCAACTTGAGTGTACCCTCCCCAAGTTTCATTTCACAATTATTGTCCCTCAAGAAATCATATCCTAGTACCGCGGGTACCTCAATATCGGCTACTAACATCTTATAGCTATAGAGTTTACCATCAATAACAAGGGTCATCCAGGCGGCTCCCGCCGGGGTAATCATTTCACTATCAGCCACTTTCAATTTACCACAATTTCTATTCAAACTCGGTTTTACATCCTCCGAAATTTCATCAAAAATCCGTCTATGTAACACAGAAACTGAGGCTCCAGTATCAATCAAACAATTTATTTTTCTATCATTTAATTTTGCAACAACAAATAAACTATCACTGCGGGCCTCTTTGATTTCAAAAATTTGCTCTTTAGGTCTATCATTGTTATCCAGTTCACGACAAGTTTGAGTTCTAGTATCGCAGGCTGAGACTTGACGTACAGGCTCAGCCTCTGGTCGTTTAAAGGACCGTGAGCGCAATCACGTGCACGCGATTTCTCAGAGGTTTCGGACTTCTCCGCAAAGTTTGGTTTGTCGTTTATTCTGTGGGAGTAAATGTTCAATTTTCCCGAGTGTAGATCAAACTGGCGTTTTCTACACTTGTTTTTAAGATGACCAGGTTTCTCACAATAGAAACATTTCCTTGTCTCATTTCTGTTGCTTGAGAGGTCTGACCGCGAGACATTGGTCTGGGAATTTTCACCAATAACATACAGGTCTTGAGAACTATGGTCACAAATCTCTTGCTGTTGACGCAAATGTTGAGTATTTGTGTACTTCCTATTTCTGCTCAATTTAAAGGCTTCATATTTCAACGCGAGATTTAACGCTTGGTCAATATTTTCGGACGCGCACTGACAAATTGCCCATTCCATATCTTGGTCATGTAATGCATCCTGGAAACATTTATGTGCCAAAGTATCCCTAACTTCACACGGGGCTGTGGGGTAAGCAAGTCTGGCCAATCGTTTTATATCTTGGGCTAATTCAGAGAGGCTTTCGTCTCTTTTCCGATAGCGACTATTCATTTCTGCGCGGTACATTTCGGTTTGATTTTTTGGTTCGAAGCGAGTTTGGAGAACAAATTTTAACTCGTAATAATCTTCAAGCTGATGGGGTCTAAGGTCAGTCAGAACACTTCTGGCTGAGCCTCTCAAACAGGCTGCTAACTGCAGGGCTTTAATCTCACTGGACCAGTTATTTAACCGGCATACAATTTCAAACTGAGTGATAAAATCTCCAACTAGATCTGCCGTCATAAGTGTCAGGTTTTGCTCTGACAGTCTGTCGAGTCTGGCTTTGATTTTCATAATTTGGTCTGAACGGATTAAAATCTGATGGTCTATCTAAAGCAATATGAGGGTGTACCCGTGTTCGCGAATCGAACGAACGAAAATGTGACTGGTTTGCGTCACTGGGCAAAGTATGCATATGGTCATCATGCTCACTCACTCTGTCAATCGTTTTGTAATCACTGTACTCACTTCTACAGTCTGTCATTTCAGGGTCTTTGTCAATAAAACGATCTAAAATCCTTGTAAGTTTCTGTAACACAGTAAAAATATCACAAATCTGTGATTGCAAAGTGTTCACTTTAGTCTCAATATCGGGACTTGGTTCACCCCCACCCTGGTCATTGGGGTTCAAATTACTACCACGGGATTCTGACATTTTTTTTCTCACCGGGGAAAATCTAGCAAGTGTAAATTAAAAATAACAAATTTCCTGCACGAATGATTTTATTCTACCCCACCGCTGCCACCAAAATGTAACGTTTTCGCCGTAATGAGTTCGTAAGATAGGATAAATATGGTTAAATATGGTATGGTTTTAAAAGCCTGGTTGCGGCTAAGACCTGATCTCTTTATTTCTGGTAGCGAATATAATTATGAATAAACCTGGTAGCGGTTTTTTTACAAAAGAAATCAACAAAAGATAATAAAGTTTTCAAAAATTATATTATGATATTCAAAATTTATTATAGTTAACAAAACCAACAACAATTAATATATATTTATATATGTGGTCGCACAACGTCACTTGCTAGATTTACAGGACCCCGAAATTCGGATAAAGTTAAAGTTAATTAATACCTAATTTCATAAATAATAAATAAAGGATATAAATTTCAATAATATATTAATATTACCTCGACATTCCAAAGATAGTCTGGGAGCGACTAAAAATTGAATAATAAAAAAAAAAATCCACAAGTCTGGTCTGGACAAAAGTAACTCTAAAAAACATCTACATCCGTTCACTTGAATCCCAAAACTTCAACTGACTACAAAACTAAACGTTAACGCTAATGTGACGTAGCATAACCAAACGTGACGTTGCACAACCAAAAATCACGACACATTTCAGGTAAAACCTATACATAATTTCCCGCGACCGGAAGTAATGGAAAATGAAAGTACAAATAAATAAGGTAAAACAATGATGTACAACAAATTTAAATGTAGTTTAAACATATAATAATGATGAATGAATCTTCCGGTCGGTATAAATTAAGATCACAAATAGATAAATACACATTTTAATAATATAGTAAAAATCATTACATGTACATCAAAATTGTTACAATACTAAAAATAATTTTAATTAATTTTAAAATTATAGTACAGTATAATCGGTTCGACAATTTTATAACTGTGGCCATGGAAAGAAAAAAAGATTTTTTTTTTTATTTCTTCAATCAATACGTGCTAAACTTTCATACGTTGATTACCATATTACTCATTGATTAGCTGGTTGGTTAAAAAAATTCGTATTATTTTACATATAAAACACAGGTAGCGGTTATACATCCAAGACTAATGACCAATCACATCGGGCATGTTGAATGATTGTTTACTACGAAGGAAAACAGCAACACGCAGTCAGTTAAAGCCTGTTCAACTTCTTTTACATAAAAACTAGTAAAGCAACACGCCCGAGTACTTGTACATTGGTGCGGTATGCAAGTGATAGCTAAAAAGTGCATATTACGAAACGTTTGATTCACACAACAAAGTGTTAGAGTTCATTTTAGATATTGAAGAAGCTCTAGCTCTTTGTTGTGTTCATCAAATGTTGTCATAAATCAAAATCTTTAGAAAGACATTTACTTGTCTTGGATATTGTCAATGGGACACTCCGGCATCATTTTCATACCATTTCAGAGAAATTGTGCTTAGAATAAGAAGGTCTTTTTAATAAAAAAAAAATTGTAAGAATATGAATAATTATGGTCATCTTGTTCTTCAGAAGACTCCGATTTGTTCAATTTATGACCCCCCAGCGATAGGTGGGTCAGAATGGTGCATAAAAATTATTGGGAAGATATCTTCGAAAATCTCAAGAACAGCAAAGATATGATTAGTCTTATTTATACGGAAGCATCTTCGGGTAGTGTAGATTTAAATCTGCTCAAAATAGGAACTGTGAGTATAAGTTGGATCACCAGATGTAGAATTAAAACCAAGTTCTTCTAAAATGCAGTCGTAATAATACATGTAAGACCTACAAATATTATATTATTACAACCTTTGTCAGCTTGAACCATGAGGTATTTTTTACGTTGTTTCTCCAATTCCTTTATCACTTCCGGTCTACTGAAAAACTGAAGGATAGATTGCATTTTGTCCTTTAATTGTCCTATGCGATGCTTTAATATTTCTAAAACTCTTTATCAAATCTGACAGAGTGTCAAGGTCTTTCTCTTCATATTTAGCCCATCTTTTAGCATACTCACAGAATTCATCAAAGAAATGAAGTGGAAGATCCAGCTTCCTGAATTTAGGACCTTTTAAAATGATAGCTTTTAGGTCGCCATTTTTTAAACTATGTTTACATCACGAAGGTTGATGTGTCAAGCTAGACAATAGTTGAAAGACGATGGAAGACAAGAACATTCAGGAGAATTCTGTTTCAGATGGTCAATATATGCACTGTAGAGTGTGTTTGTAATTGAAAAAGATTGGATGCAAGACTAACTTTTTTAAGAACCTTGATTAAGAAAGTTGTTAAAAGACACGAGGATTGCCGAGTGTTTCTTTAAAACTAAATATAGGGAATGAGAATTGCAGGAAACTAAAGAGCACATATTATGGAGTGTTTTACTTTGAATTTCCTCAAAATAAGAGTACGTAATCACTTTAGCAACAAATCAAATGATATGCAGATTATAGAAACCATTCAAATGCTTGCTAGGGGTTCTCAAACATGTTAGAGATTCAAAATAAACTACTGTGTGGGAGTGAGGAAACATAAAGCGGCAATGGGAAAAGTACCGTTTTCCTATTATGGTCATTCTGGCAGAAAAATTAGCCATTCGTTGGAAAAGGAAAGAACAATAACATTTCTTGACGCAAAAAGCTGTTAATTACCACCAAAGAAGCTATTGGCTAAGGTAAGGGATAAATTATTTATAATGACATTCAAACACCTAAACATAATCATCTAATTTATCCAGAAAAACATCAAAATATATCCAATGCTTTGGAAAAAAAAGCAAGCAGGATTTCAAATTTTTAAACTTAATCATGTAGTAAAAGTGTTAATATATATCTTGGCAAATACGATCAGAAACTTGGTCTCTTTATGTTTCATCTCTACTACACATTCTTCTTGAGTTTCTTTAACATGTTCAAAAAATATAGTGTGCATTTGATTGGTTTCCTTTATATTAAACCCTGGATTACATCTTTTAAGAAACATAGAGGGCATTAGTTGATTTCAAAGGAGGTGGCTAAATTAATTTAGTGTCTGAAATCTCTATAATAGGGCAGGTACTTACAATTTTAACGATCAAAAGTATTGTAACCACTGCAGATATGTGACAACCACGAACCTGTCCAAGCAAACATAACTAAGAACTGGATTTGATTTTCGTTAAATATCAATTTCATATCCTTAAAACGGAATAATATATGCCATATCTTATTTTCTTCAAGCCGATAACTTCTGATAGTGTGTAAGTACTCCGTTCATCTGAAAGTTTCAGCGGACAAGGCTTGTAATAAAATCATCTTTGTTTTTAAGACTCACTTGTATAATTGTATTTTAGAATTTGGTTTTAAATTTAATCTGGAAATCCTACTTATACTCACGGTTCACTTTTCTAAGGATGGTATTCTTCAAAATCACATTCCGGTCCCTCTTTTAACATTCCCGTCAACGAACATGAAATCGATCTACCCTAACGATACAGAATTCCTAAACTTCATAAAAAATGTTACAAACAAAAATACATTGCTGGGTCAAGAAAGTGCTCTAACAAGCCTCTTTCTTTACTCCTCACTGCTGTAAAGGAGAAACTTCAGACGTACTTTGCTGCTGCATACCCTAGATGTGGTGTAAATCAAATGTAAACTCTCAAAAACGCCAAAGAACTTGAAGAAAATTTTGAATCACCAAATGTTTCAAAAGTAAGCAATATCAAACATACCACTTTTCTACACTTATACTATTCCTCACAATAAAAAAAAACTAGGCTTTTTAATTTGAAATATGAAGATAACGAACAGTATTCAATCTCGAAAGTCCAATGAAACGATACAAATTTGGAGCACAGCAAACACTGACCTTAAAATTTAGAGGTGGGATCAGGTGCCATGGAGGAGTGAACATCCCGTGCCGACCGGTCACACCCGCCCTGTGCTCCTTATCATAATCGACCCCCCCCCCCCCCGAAAAAATCCATAAACAGTTCTGTGTATAAATAATAAACAATTAAAATGAAAAATGTCAGTCATCATTTGACTTAATGATAGGGTTGTACTTGCTGACAAGGTCATTGAATCGACCATAAGACTTGCGAAATGATGACTTCAAACGAGACTCTTGATATCCTTGTTTCATCAACTTGTTTGTCAATAGCTTGTCTCATTTTGGAAATTGCGTATCGAATCAACTGAGAGACATAAACCCCATATGCAGGTGATAAGGGTATATTGCTACATAAGTAAGGGAAGTTGACGATTGAAAAGTTGAAATCATCGCTTTGTTGTTAAGTTGCCATTAACGTCTTTTTCTAGTAAAATATCTCAATATGAAACAGATGAGTCAGACTCTGTGGTATCTTTTATTTAAAGCTCACTGGGATAAATCGAGTCGACATATGAATGGAAGTAACTAGTGTTAATTGATAATATATTGTCGATATATCGAAATGTCGAGTAGAAGGCCACGACAAGTGTTTTCTTCTTTTCATGTAGAAGATTTTGAATAATTTCTGCTTCATATGAATACAAAAATAGGTCTGCTATTAAGAGGGCGCAATTGGTACCCATGGGAATTCCAACAGATTGTTGGAAGACCTGATCTCCAAAAACTACGTAGATATTGTCAATCAGAAACTCAAGCCTCGTTTGATTCCAGCATTTGGTAAATTTTATGGTCGCTATAATGACCTTGTTAGCAATTATAACCTATCGTTGGATCGTATTTTGGCTGCCTTGTTTCATACCAATTTGTTAGGCCTTTGTTTTTATACTTAATTTGACTAAGAAATGTTCCTCTGATCAATACATAGGGCTCACGGCGGGTGTGACCGGTCAGGAGGGGATGCTTATTCCTTCTAGGCACCTGATCTTGCTTCTGGTATTTCCAGTGACGATTGAAAGTAAATGACTCCTACTCCATCAAGGTCACAAGGTCAAGGGTGAAATTACCCTGGGCATAAGAAAATATTGTCCTTCGAATGCCTTGCGAACCCTTTACGTGACATATGAAACTTGGTACATTGGTACTCTCTGAGAAGTAAAAGACCCCTATTGATATTGACACCCCTATTGATATCGTTCACTTTGTGAACATCAACCTTAGTAATATGGTAGCAGATTGTCCATATTTTTCACTGTCAATACAGACATTATATATTTAAATTTGATCCAATTATATAATACCACGGGAAAGGGGGGGGGGGCAAATAGGTTTCTTAATCATTTCTCTTTTTTTAAATTTCATACACAGGTTTTTGAAGAGTAAGAAAAACTCTTTCTATTTAAATTGATGGAGAAAACAAGTGGACTATGCGGGGGTACAAGTATATCATTTAGGAATTTTAACATTAAAAAGTATCTCTATTACCCCCCACTGAAGAGACTTGAAAATGGGGGAGATGATGTTAATGTACTTAAGTTGTTTATTTTTCCTGCTGTTATTCATTCATAATGACGTAAAGCGCTCTGTTTTTAAATAGAAATTTTATTTTAAAAAAAAG